TTTATGACGGCTAAAGCACATCTTTTGGATCTCCACAGAACATTTTTGGGACTGCTAAAGAACATTTTTGGGACAGCTAAGAAAAATCTTAGAGACCGCTAAAGAACATCTTTATGACGGCTAAAGCACATCTTTTGGATCTCCAAAGAACATTTTTGGGACTGCTAAAGAACATTTTTGGGACAGCTAAGAAAAATCTTAGAGACCGCTAAAGAACATCTTTTGGATACATCTTTTGGCAAGCAGAGCTTTAATTCTTGATGTTTTGTTTGCGATTAGTAAAGATAGCAACACATGGTTTGTGTTTAAAACTGTTGTCATGATGGTTGGTTTAGCTGCCTGACAATGATTAAAGCACATCTGGAAAAGTCTCAAGCCATCCCGTCTTCTTCTTTCTTTTGTTTTACAACACTTTAAATTTCCCAAAGAGTTTTTCAACAACAGCTTTTTTCTGTCTGTTTTTCTAACCACCTTAACAAAGCTCATCCGGATGGTGCACATTTTGGTGAGCTCGTAAACGGCCTCAAAGCCATGGTTGACGGACTGGGCCAGCAGCTCAGCAAACTCCTGGTTGTTGAAGATCTTCAGGCTACACCTGCTGGGAATCTTGCACACCGTGGTGGGATGGAAGCCATGGTGGTAGTTGCAGTTACGGCTCTGGACAAAGATACTGCTGTCACTCAGGCACTCGGCATACACCTCCCCTCCAACGTAGTACAGATGGACTCCTGGGAGGCACCAGAGGAGTTTATTATGGCGGTAGGACTAAGAAACATCTAGATTACTTTCATCTAGCATTACCTTTTCCGATGTGCCGCCGCGTGTTCTCTATGGTAGAGTTACGGTTGACGTTGGAGAGTAAGCCGAGGCAGAAGCGGTTGCGGTTGTTGGAGGGATCCGTGAAGCCGTCGACGAGCACGCTGGTGGAGGAAGCCTGGAAAGCCTCGCCAACGCGATTGTTCAGCTCGTAGTAAACAATGGAGCACCAGTGCTTCGGTTCCTCATAGGCCACAGGCTGCACATCTGCACAGAAAACATGGGGTTCAGAGAACATCCATGCAGTTATCCCGACCTATAACAGTTAGCAGATAATGTTTCAGACATATATTATTAATTAGTCTATCATATCTTCTGAGTCATTCCAAACTTTCGTTCCCTGTTGGAAAAAAGAATCCATCTTTTTCTTCCTTTCACACATGGCTCCTAACTTGCTATTTCAACAGCTGACAGGTGTGTTTGGTCTTTCTCCTTCTCAGAGCTGATCCACAATAGGAACCTGCTCTCTGTACAGGATGCAGTGCATGTCCCGACCTGCTGCTACCAGCTAACAAACCTCTCAGCACTTCTTCCTGCTGCTGCCGTGAGTGGAGGATCCATGGACAACTACTGCATTTACGGGGCACAACAGTTCAGGATTAGACTTAAGATGTAAATTTTTTTTCTAAAGATAAAGCATCTTTAAAGGCCTGTAAAAAAAACAAGAGGAACAAATGTGCAGACACGAACAATGCCAACTCCAAAGCACACAGAAACATTTTATACAGAAAAGGCTGCAACTAGGAGCAAAAAAAAAAGAAAAACTGCAAGTTGTGAAAAAACCCAGAGAATTTCTGAAATGCTGTAAACTCCTTCAAAAACAAAGAGAGTCAGCCAGACCACTAGGGGGCATCAACCACCAGACCCTCAAAGAAGAGCCTGACATTTTTCCGTCTATAGTAAAATTTAAGGCTGTTTCCCTATTTATGTAACTGGGCATTCTCGTGACACGTCATCAGCCTCAGCACTGCTCCAATTGCCAAGATCCGAAGAATGAGAATAAACAGTCCCTGGATGTTGTTCTCACCCCGCCTCCTCACACTGCATGCATAACAGCAGACTTGTTCGTTCTCCAGATTGACAGCTGTCCCAGTATGCACCACGGGTGCAGAAGCTTCCAGGTAAGCGCTCACAGAACTCTTGAGTTCAGTTAAAACTTCCCTTTTCTGTTGCCTTGTTCTACAAAAGTACGTTTTCAGATTGTCGGAGGTGAGAACATTATACTTTTAAGTTTCAATATATGGCCTATTTATTGATTTAGTGCGTACTTTAAAGTCGTAGGGAAACCGCTGTTCCAATGGTTGCACACGAGTGAATAAAGTGAATGTGATTGGTCGTTTGTCAAGAGGGCGAGATTGTTGTGGTGGAAGGTTCGCAAGCAAGTTTGGTTTTGGCCAGTGTCTCGGAAGCATCTTGCTAACCAGTTAGCAACTTAGTGCTGCTAGTAGGTTCCAAATGGGAAGTTACAAGGGGTGTAAATCACACCCATCATGGCGATTTGATTCAGTATCAATTTGCTGACCCAACGATTCAATTATTTTCGATACTCAAGAATACACCACAATACGATTCGATTAATTGGTAAATTTTATTTTTTATTTGTTTTACACCTTACAGGCTAGACAATGTTTCAAATTTGACATAAATCAATGAAAGCTGTAATATCTTTGTTTTTGTTTTTTTGAGAAACTACAGAAAATAACAGAACTAGAAAAGTTGTACTCCACCTATTCCTATTAAAACCTCATTCACTGAAAAATAATAATGCCCCAGTGTTATAGATTCTGCAAGGCTTTGCATCACGAAATACTGCACAAAATCAGTGCAATGATTGCAATGCAATACCTCGACTCCAGACGTCCCCGCCCCCTCCACAGACGCTCCGCTGCTCCTCTCCCAGATTGTAGCTGACCGCA